CCCTCGCTGTTACACACTGATACACACACTACAGCCACATGCTGTACCTACCTCTAGGTGTGTGTGTGTGTGTGGGGGGGGGGGGGCACACACACATGTTTGACAGACAGCGAGAGAGGCCTCTATCACCAATCTGCATATCTGCATATTAGCGCTGGACCATCCCTTTAATTTCCTACAGCGACTGATAACCATCACGTTCTTTTGGCCTCTGGTCGCTCCCACACAGCACTCTGAGATTTCATGAGTGTATATATGAGTGAGAGAGAGAGAGAGACTGACTTTCACTACTACCATCAGTTCTTTCTGTTGCTCAGTTCGCACACACACACACGGGTTGTCAGACAGGCATCCTATTGATTTACTTTTCTCTTTAATAAGTGAAAGGATCTGTGTGATATAAAAAGGGATGATGGAGAGAGCAGAGAGGAAGAGGCTGGAGGTCAAACAAGCTGTGGGAGGTGTTCAATGATAAATCAAATTTAAAAAGCCTCCGTTTATTCCCGTCAAGGTGCTTCTGAAATAATGCACATGCCGTCACAGAGAACTGAAACGTTTCACTTAGACGAGAGGTTGATCACAGTTATAATTGTAGTTATAATAAATTGCCAAACTTTTACATTCACTTGTGTTGAACCTGATTAAAACGTCTCGGTAGGATCAGTTATTGTTAGTGCCTCCTGGAGATAGCCAACGTGGTATTGATCAGTTCTTATTATGTGATACATATTATCATGTGAAAGATTAATATTATCATCCGGTCAGAATTGTTCATCTGTCATTTAAACACTTCCCAGGAGTAGGATATCCTGACAGATGCTGGTGAGTTTGCAGTAAAATTTGATATTTGTGACCCTGACCTTTCTCACGGCACCAATGTCAAATATATCTATAGGTGTTCCATGAAATCTACTGTGGCTGGTCTTCGTCTGCAGAGGATGACTTGTAATGTTTCTTCTGTTCGCCCCTGACCTTTCCTCTAGTACCAACAGTGGAGAGCTTGGCGGACAGGTGCCTTGGTAAAGCCACCAAAGTAGGTCAAGTAATGAACTGCTCACTGTTCAAACAGGAGACATCAAGCCTTTGAATCCAACCAGGATCCTCCTCAGGTCCTTTTTCAGAGGAAATAGAGGATTGGACATTGTGTCAAAGCAGTGACCTTTAGCTGTGAGCTAAACCTCTGTCCATTATTATATTGAACCTTTTTGGTTTCGTAAAGTGGTACAAAGCAACCCACACCAACTGTTTAACATAATTGGCTCTGGAGATATCATGTTAAAAGGCACAATAAGTTTCAAACCAGGACAAAGTGAGTCAACAAGTATAACACTCACTGTCCTGGATGAGGTTTTAATAAAACGGTTGAAGCTTCATAGACCAGTCGTGACAGCTGTGGGGAGTCATCTGTACTGGACGTGTGCATGTAGTCTGGCGGTAAAAACTCTTGTGCTACTTTGGTATTAATATTTACTTCTGATTGGGAGATATGATGGTTGCTTATGACTCATGAACTGATCTACCTAATGTAATATGGTGATGTGACTGTCTTTATATAGATAAATGATTTGTTTCCAGGCACCACTTTGGCACCACTACATTACGTATTCCTAAAGCTGTTTTTGAATGGTACACATGGAAGATATATTTTACCACATTGGGGAACACATGAACTTAGCTCATTATTATACTTTTGATGTAACTCATCATATAACACATTTTAGCGATCATCAGTTGACCCTAAGAAGACGAAGTGTGTGCATGTTGAATGCTATTTAATGTTTGCGTTGGTGTTTGTGTGTGACAGTTCCACAGTAATAATTGGTTCACCTTAATTAACTCTGTGAGGTCTAAGCAAGTGGCCTTGCAGCAGCCTGTCTGTTCTGAGTTGCACCATATCACGAGGAGGACGAATGCTAATCTGCTATTTGTTATTATTCCCAGAGACCTTGGGTGAGACAAGAGGATGGAGGTAGTGACGGGGGGGGAGCAGATAGGGAGGTTGTGAATGAAGCCTTTGTGAGTGCGTATTGGTAGTAGAAAAGAGAGGTAGTGCAAATTAGAGGTATGAGAGGAGAGGGCGCCCGCATGAGAGAAAGAAAGCCAAGTGAGGCAGAGAGAGGCATCGTGTGTCTGGTTCCCATCATGTACATCTGCATCTAACCAAGGTCGCACAGACAGAGGAGAAGAAGTCTGTTCAAGTCTTTCACCTAACAGAAATATGATTGATCAAGTTTCTTACTGGCAAACAACCCAGACTGAGGACTAAGTTGTAATGGATATACAACAGTTTTGCAGGTTTTCTGTTTGTTTACCACTTTGACTTTAAGATCCAATGTGGCAAACAAGGCTCAGTTCAAAGCAAGTTCCCGGACCAATCAGAAAAGTATGTTGCCCTGTTTAGGCAGTGGTTAGACGCTAGCCTGTGACCAACACTGAGGTGCCCTTGAGCCAGGTAACCCCAGCTGATTAGACTGTGGTTGTACTGGGTAGTTTCTAGTCTGTGTAACTGTGTGTGAGACAGAGATGCTCACAAGTCTTTGAGCTAGAGTCCAAGTCAAGTCTCAAGTCTCTCGTGGTTATTATGAATGTTGTATCACCTGCTGCGTTCAGTCCAGGTTGCTAATAAAACTTCATAGCTATAAGGAATACTGTTAACATGCTTTTCATTTACAGAGCACAACCGTGTAATGTGCAATGCAATTGATGACAGCTTATTAAATACTGTAAGTCAATAAAACTGTGACATTGCAATCAATAATAATCAATAATAGATCTGTCTGTTTTTAACTTAAAGAGCACAACCATGTAGACTAATGTACAATGCGTCTACAATTAATGACAGCTGATAAGCTACTTTAAGTCAGCAAACCCTGTTGAGTTTCAAACCCAGTGTAAAGTTAACTAAATAAAACTGTAAAGTTACATGGTCAACAATAAAGCTGTAACCTGTTTTTAACTTACAGAGCACAACCATGTAATGTGCAATGCAGTTAATGACAGCTTATTAACTACTGTAAGTCAACACATCCTCCTGACTCTCAAATCAATAAAGCTGTAACCTGTTTTTAACTTGCAGAGCACAACCATAATGTGCAATGCAATCAATAACAGCTTAAACTACTGTAAGTCAACACACCCTGCAGACTCTCAAACCAGTGTAATGTTAGGCTATAACTAAATAAAACTGTAAGGTTAGGCTACATGATCAACAATAAACCTGTAATCTCTTTCCAGCCAACGGCAATAATTAACGTGATGGCAGCCAGCGGGACGTAAATGATTACGTTAACCGACCACCACAAGTTTGGCAAGTAAAAAAACGCTCGTTCATCTTTTCATAACGAACGACAGTGGGAGTTAACCTCCCGTAGCTCGTAGATGAAGCAAGAAGCAAGCTAATGTTAGATGGCCAATGCTGAGCTAAACATGTTCACTCACCACATATTTGCGTTCAGCGCTTCTTTGTTTGGGTCTTGTTGTCTGAAGTTTTAAAGCCAAAGTTTATGATAAATGGCACAGCAGCTGCCGGTGTTTGTTGTCCTCTCTCACGTGCGGCTGCGCGCAGCAGATGTTACGTAGGCAGTTTATAGGTAACGGAGGGAGGGAATAACGGCAAGCTCATCAGACGTTTCCTAAAAAATAAAAATTGTTCTCGAGTCCGAGTCGAGTCTGAAGTCTTTTGAGGACGAGTCTCAAGTCGAGTCTGAAGTCACTGTGTGTGCGACTTAAGTCGCGCTCGAGTCCCCATCTCTGGTGTGAGGTGACAGGGGTGACCCAGAAGAATAGTACTGTCAGGGAAACTTCCCTGGATTAAAGAACATAAACCTCCAGTGGCATAACAAGGTGCAGTGGACTTTTAGACAATAATCTGCATGGATGAGGCATAGATGTTTTGTGAAAGGTGAGCATTTGTGGCAAAACTGAGCTCCTCATCAGGGTTTATTTTGATCATTGTCAGGCAAAGATCTCTGTTAGCTTTGTTAACTTTTATGGGAGCTATCAGCACAGTTTGGATCTTTTGTCTAAATTTTGCCTTCAGCTTGTTTAATGATTCAGCACCTGTAAAATGTTTTGGGATGTGCGAGCTCTACACTCTGTTTGTCTTTGAGATGAGCGGTCTTGACGTGTCCTGAAGACAGAAAAGGAGAGGTCAGGAGTCTGGACTATAGCTGTCTGAGACTACTGTCATGAGAACAAAGAGACCAAGACTAGGTCAGAGTTCAGGACCAGAACATGTGCTGTAGTCAAGACCAGGTCAAGGCAAAGTCTAAATCAAGGCCACCAAGACCTACAGTACTGCTACAGTAAAGTAATTCACCTTGGTGTTGTCTAACATGAATAAACACCTGGAATAAATTGGTCTTATAAGGATACAACCATTTGATGATGCCATCCTCCTGTTGCTAACACTGAAAATCAGGCAGTGATGTTGTTTACCTGCAGTAAGAGATTAATCCCTGTATCTGCTGCACTAGGTTGAATACATAATAATAATGTTCGTTGCTTATTGGAAGTCACTAACCAGTATACATGAGTGTAATGCTGCATTTGAAATGTATGTATGTAACATTTTCATTTCCTCAGAATGATTAAGTAAATTAGTATAAGTTGAAATGAAAAGCAACAGAATCAAAAATCGTTTTTTTTAATGAATTTTATTTTTTTTAATTTTAATTAATTCTTAGATTTAACAGAGGCTGACTAAGGAAAATAATTCTTCCTCAGTTTGAGGCTGAGAGATGACAGCAGGTGAAAATCAGACCACAACTCTGATAATTTGATCTGTTTTTTTATTGTCTGACAAGGATTACATTTGTTGCTGTCCCTGATTTGTCGTCTTTCCATCCATCCTTTTCCTCTTTCTTCTCTTGGCCGCTAAGAAGCTGTACTTGAGCCCTAGAAGTTCAGGTGCTCCACAAAATTGCTTTGCCGTTACACTGAACCTGTAGAGATCACTCAGTGAGTAACCGTCGTTTTTCTTCTATTTGTCTGCTTTCCAGGACAAACATCAGATGGCTCCTTACACTGCTGTTGACAACAGAGATGCACAATACCTCTGGAAAGCACAAGACCTGTGCCTGACACTCATCATCCTTCTATCAAAGGTAAGAAATGCATAAAAGAGTTTGTCTGGTCAAGGTGCAGACTTATATGAGGCAGAGACAAAAGACCAGTAATTCGACTTGTTTTAATCAGTATTGTTTTTTTGTTCGTTGCTGCAGTTAGTATGTAACTTAACAGCTTACAGTTTATTTATGAGAACTTAAAACCAACCGTGAAGGTTGCTCTTAATCACTGCTACCTGTCATAATTCCTCCATTAAAATGGTCAAATATAAAGACATAACTAAACTAATGAATATAAAAGCCGCTATAAATGTCTGTGGTCAGTCGTTGCCTGGTTCTTCCCTCTACCAACATTTTTTTTTTCCATCTCTTTCAAGCTTTCCAAGGCTGACACTCAGTGTGAGAGTGTGAGTGTGTGTGTGTGTGTGTGTGTGTGTGTGTGTGTGTGTGTGTGTGTGTGTGTCTCTCTAAGGAGCTTTCAATGAGATAAACACTTGAGCTACAGATTCTAGAAGGAAATCTATATTGTTTAATACCAAGGTCAGAGTTATTGTTTGTGGCTCTCTGGACCTACGCTCTGCCACAATAGGTGTATTTTTCTCCCCTCAGTGAAGAAAAGTTTTCAATCAGACCCTGCAGCTGAATGTGTGCACGCAGTATGGATGAGGTGAAGTGTCAATACCTTCATCTACGCTTTAAATCGGCAGTTAATAACTCTTTGAATAAGGGTGTGGTGTATAAACCACGTAGTAGTAGTAGACTTCTAATAAGGCTGACATTTCTGCATGTTTTGTGATTATTATGACTTCTATGTAAGTGCGTTTAACCCATGCACTTTTTCTTACTGTCAAGAAATCAATCAAAACACCAAACCAAACAATGACTTGGTCCTACTTATTCATTATGTCACTTACGTTCACTATGCGTACCACATACATTGTCCTTAAAAATAAACAAGCATAATAATTATAATTAATTACTCTCTGGAGCAGCTGAAAATAGTCTCAACAAATGCACCATTTACTCCTGTTTGAGTGACTTTTGCTAACAACTACAGTGTCCAGCTGTTTTAAGAAATGACTTTTTAAATGAAAGTATTTTCATGGGATTTGTTGGCAGTTAGAAAAGTATAGTATAATACCATACCCCATAAAAATGTTTATACTCCCACTCATTTAACTATTATACAGTTAAAATCTATCATATAATGAGCCTACACTCAAATGTTTGGCTGTTGCAGGTTGAACAGTGCAGTTATCTTGCTGTGGTGTGTGTGTTTATATATAAAAAATGCAGCCACTTACTAATTAGTCTAAAGCTCCCTTAACATGATATACTTAAAACATGTCATGTTTATTTTATGATTTGAAATAGAAGATAACGAGGGCTAAAAGTGACAATAATTTTCATTATCATATAATCTAGTGATTATTTTCTCAATCGATTCATAGTTTGGAGTGATAAAACGTCAGAAAATGGTGAAAAACCTAAATATATTTAATTTACTATCAAATATGACATCCAAAAACATCAAATCCTTACATTTGAGAATTCAGAACCAGCAAATATAACAGTAACTTTACATAAAACAAGCAGTTAGCGAGCAAGGACCATCAAATAACATGTGAATATAACTTTTCCATTTGGTGGCTCTATGGTCCATTTTAGAAATCAACAGTCAAGTCTACCAGAACAGGAGTACTAAAGCAGTGCTAGGAGTGTGTGAGAATGTGTGATTTTATGTTGTCTGTCGGGCTGAAAGAAGCGTAATGGACATCTTATCAGTGCGGAGTGACAGTATGTGCTACTACATAGAACGATGTGTGTGTGGCACAGAAGGAATAGACTGCTGACAGCACAATGATGAGATGATAATGTATGTTCTTCACGCTGAAGAAAGACAGGATGATGGACACGGCCGTTTCTCACCGTTATCCTGATCATCTGTCCAGTTCGACTGACTGAGCAGTGATGCTCTGCAGTCTTCACCCAGTCAACCCAAATACATACCTGACATACACCTGGAGAAGGGGGATAGATGATGTATAAAAGATGTGCCGTGGCAAGAAGCTGAAAAATCACATCATGTCAGATTAAGATCTCACAAACATGCTTAAAGGAAAAAACTCAGGGAGGCTCCAGGGACATCTGAATGATTTTTGTTTTTATTTCTTAACACAACTTTACTAGCAACTATTTTGATAATAATTTCAGCAATTTCTTTTCTAGAAGAAATGCCAAATATTTCAGTTCCAGCTTCTGAAATATCTCAACTACTGGTACAGATGTCCATGTACCAATCATGATGAACTGAAATGAATGAATACTTGTATACTACATAAGCTTTATGGCCAAATACCTGCACTCAAGCAAAGTGACATTTTAAGAGTTTATCATTCCAATTTTAAAACTTGGGAGTTGCCGTGTCAAATTTTTTAGGCAGTACCTTTCGTTTCCAAGGCATGTTTATTAGTATAGCACATTTCAACAACAAGGTAATTCAAAGTGCTTTACACAAAACATAAAAGCAACAGGGAAATATAAAAAAGTTTAAAAGCAACATAGGGAAATTGAAAAAAAATACACATTAAAAAATAATAAAAGTTACAGTGCAGTGTACAGTCAGGGTTAAAAGAGTTAAATGGAAAATAAAAACAGGCTGAGGGGTTGAGCAAATAATTGAGTTACAATTATTTTGAAAAGAGAATAAACAGAAGTACACGTAATCTGCTCTGTCTAGCTAGTCTGTACTTGGGTCCATAGCAATCTTTGGGTCCACTGAAACTCCAAAAACCCTCGGACACTACAGAGAAACCAGGACATGTCTGTCCGCAGGCCTCTTTGATCCAGTTATACTCTGGACCCACCTGCGCGTTTACAGGTGGACAGAGGTTCCTGCAAATCACTCAGGCACGAGATTTAAGACCACTTCCTTCACTCTGTTCAGTCCCACTCTCATTATCTTTTCACTCAATTACCTACTCATTTCTCACCGTGTAAATATTTAATTAAAAGCAATGGTAAAAAGCTAAAAACAAAGAAAAACAATACAGTAAATGTTACAGTGCAGTGTAAGTTATCAATGTACTAGTTGAAGGCAGTGGTAAAAAGAAAACTTTAATATTTAAATAAAAGCAATGGTAAAATGAAAAGTCTTCAGTCTTAATTTAAAAGAACTGACAGTTTCAGCAGACCTGCAGTTATCTGGGAGTTGGTTCCAGATATACGGAGCATAATAACTGAACGCTGCTTCTCCTTGTTTAGTTTTGACTCTTGGGACAGAAAGCGACCTGAGAGGTTCGGATTGTTCGTAACGAAGCAGAAGATCAGAAATGTATTTTGGCCCTAAACCATTTAGTGCTTTATAAACTAACAGCAGGATTTTGAAATCAATTCTTTGACATACAGTAAGCCAATGTAAAGACCTCAGAACTGGAGTGATGTGATCCACCTTTTTGGTCTTAGTGAGGACTCGAGCAGCAGTGTTCTGAATCAGCTGCAGCTGTCTGATGTCCCTGTAAGGACACTGTTACAGTAGTCGAGTCGACTGAAGATAAATGCATGGATAAGTTTTTCCAGGTCTTGCTGAGACATAAGTCCTTTAATCCGTGATATATTCTTCAGGTGATAGTATGCTGACTTAATTGTCTTAATGTGGCTCCTCAAATTCAGGTCTGAGTCCATGACTACACCAAGATTTCTGGCTTGATTTGTGGTTCTTAACATTACAGATTGAAGTCGATCGCTGACTTTCAATTGTTCCTCCCTGGCTCCAAAAACAATAACTTCAGTTTTATCTTTGTTCAATTGAAGAAGAATTGAACAAAATGTCTTTAGCGATCTACTTTCAACCTGGATAGCGTCAAGCCTAGGGCCCTGTGATTCTGCGATGAACAAATGTGGATGCAATTTAAAGAAATTGGGGTTTTCCCTAGCATTATAAGCATTTTTGTCACAGCACTGTCAATTACGGGCACGCTGCTTCTGTCCTCTGCTGTCTGCGTTGGTGTTTATAGAGGGCGGGGCTCATCACTTCAACAAACTCTCAAAAGTGCAACCACATCGGCAGATGTAATACGCGAGCTTCGTGGCTCTATGGGCAGAGTCATATACTCTGTGAAATTAAAAAGCTACATCAGGTCAAACTTTATAAACAAGGAGCTGCATTGCCCATGTGAAAGTAGTGAAAGTTTGAGCAGCATATCGAGGCTGTCCTGCAGACGAACTTACAGAAAATATTGTCAGTAGTCACGCAAAAACCTATTTAATATGGGAGCCATTCACAGTACATGTATTGCAACCAAACGGAGGTTACTGGTCTGTAAAGTGAAGCCAATTCAGAAGTGCCTTAAACCTGCATTCTTTGTAAAGGCCAGCAGAGGGCAACTCCTCTGGTTGCAAAAAGAAGTCCATCTCCATTAAAAATAATGGTAAAATGACCCTACTTCTCTCCTTATTTATTACCTTAGTAAACACTTTTCCAATGAGTTTATGATCTCGATCGCTAGTTTCAAGTCTTCTTCAATACAACATGATGTTCATTTAGTAAATTATGGTGCAATTTAGAGGAAAATAGATGATAAAGCAGTTTATGCTGTAGGGCTGGCTATCTTGTGATTGACAAGTCGCTAGCATGGCAACCTGTCAATTAGGATAGAGGCAAATTGTATCCACTGCACTGTGTACATTTGAAAAAGCTTATTTAACAACGTTGCATTACATGAGCCGTGAACTTGTTTTTGGGTGCTGTCTATGTTTTCGTCTAACAGCTGTGTGTTTTCAGTTCATGAAAGTTAAGGTTTTGGTCGCCTAAAAATCTTGTTCACCAAAACATACTAAAAAGGCACTTTAAGTAGTCTGTTACTTTTTTTTGGAAAGTACCTTTTGTTTTAAGCCTGTTTTCTAGCCAAATTAACAATACAATTAACATCCCAATTAATATCAAAGTTAACCTGAATTACGGATGCCCCTTGCTAACCAAGCTAGCAAGCTCCACCCTCTCGTCCGGTCTCAAAAATGGTGACAGCCAAAATGCCAAACTCACAGTGGCTATTGTCCACTTATTTTACTTACAGTCTATGATTGCAACATTGGTTGTACTACATTTATTGTGAATAATCCCCATATATAATTGCACATACATTTAATTACATAATACATCAAATTCAGCAAAATTGATAATTTTTGAGTTATTAATTATTGAATTGTTGAAATTTTATTCATCCACCACATGATTACAAACTCTGGTGATAAAATGTGCTTAAATCATAAAACACAGAATCCAGAAAAATCAGATTTCATAGGGCCCTACTAGCCAAGATGAGTTTAGTGCCGTCAACTGCCCCTCCCCACCACCACCTTACTCTTGCCGTTGTCCTCCTGTCATGCTCTTGATCCCGCCATCGCTGTCATGTCACTGCTTTTATCCCGTCACCCTAAGCAACCTCTCTGTCTTATTGTCCTGCTGCTGCTATCTGCCTCTTTGTCGCTCTGATGAGGGTCAGCTGGAGGGCTTGTCATTAGCTGGGAGTGTGCACGTACATGTGCATACATGTGAAGTGTGTACACAAGATAATATGGCCCTTTAATGATCACTGTGAGAAAATTGTAGCAGAGAGGGAATGTAGGCAAACAAAGCATTTAAAGTAGAAATATAAATATAGAAAAAAAATTACGTATGACTGTGTGCAAAGTGAAAGAATAGACTTAAAAAATAACTGCACAATATGAGACTATGGCAAATACATGTATGTTTCTTAAATGTGAATTAAAAATGGCACATAACAAAAAACAGAAGAACAATATATCAATATAAATATATGACTGATAGTATTTAGCTACTTAAGGCTGCTATTAACTAGAGCTGCAATGGTTAGTTGATTAATCAATTGGTTGTTAACAATTAAATTCATTGGCAATTATTTTGATCATCGATTAATCTTAGTCCTTTTTTTTTTTTTTTTTTTTTTTTTTTTAAGGAAAAATATCCAAATTCTCTGATTTCAGCTTCATACACGTAAACATTTTGTGTCTTCTTTTGTCCTCTATGAACGTAAACTACATATCATTAGGTTATGGACAAAACAAGACATCTGAGGACGTCACCTTGGGCATCAACATTTTTTCACCATTTTCTGATTTTCTGTATGGACCAAACGACAAATAATCGTTAGTTGCAGCCCACTATAAACATAAATAATTACTGAGAGATGAGTCTCTTTCCAAATGTCATATCTATCTGTTGTGCAGTCAAATGTTTAACAACCAACACAAACTGAATTAACCCAGCAACCTTATAATATAAAAATAGAAATATTATAGAAGGTGAGACAGCAGACTTTTGTTCATTTATTTTGCTAGACCGAACATCCTGCTGTTTTCAAACTTTTGCAAACTGCATTAAATCCATACTACTGCTGGCTATAGACTATAATTTTCGTTAAGTGTTGACAAATTATTTAACCAAGACTACCATCTTTAACTTAACCCTCAACCAGGTACTTTGAGTTGTCTTAATATAACCACAAAACACAATCCAGATTACATTAAATATATAAAACTCTGCTATTGCAAATTAGTTTTATATGACCTTAACTTTCAGGAGACCGTTGTTGCTGTCATTTTTAACCCTATTGACAGCTGATTTTCTGGAGGACCAGCACAGCTATACAAATTCTGCAATAAAATGTGCAAAGAAAATACACTTCTTAGATATAAAACGCCATATAAATGGAGATATATGTAGTTTGGGGGTTTTCCTGACATATGGAGTTACACTGCCAGGCTTTTCCTTCTTTCTGTTGCCTTCTATGCTGACCAGTTGCGCGCTCTCTCTCTCTCTCTCTCTCTCTCTCTCTCTCTCTCTCTCTCTCTCTCTCTCTCTCTCTCTCTCTCTCTCTCTCTCTCTCTCTCTCTCTCTCTCTCTCTCTCTCTCTCTCTCTCTCTCTCTCTCTCTCTCTCTCTCTCTCTCTCTCTCTCTCTCTTTATCTGTCAGCCCAACAATAGGAAACTGCTGATGCTG